GATCATGTTCCATTAAGATATTTTGTAAATTTCCTACCGTAAATATATCAAAACTTAATTTTTGATTAGTAATATGTTTTGCTAAGAACTTCATTTGGACAACTTTAAAGATGATTTTCTCAATATTTAGATTTTTTTGCACCCTCAGATTCCAGATTTTCAAATAGTTGTATCTCAGCCAAATATTGTCCTATCATAACAAACCATACATCAATGGAAAGCTTATTTATTCAGCTTTCAGATGATGTATAAATCTCAATTTCGAAAAATTTACCCTTATGACTGGTTTTGTGCTCCAGGGTCACATATATTATATATTTATATTATTAAATTACATTATTATTATTATTAGATGACTTATACATTATTGTATTTTTGATATTTTGATGTTAGCTATTGCATTAACGAATGAGACTTTATTTTAACCACTTTTTTTTTTTTTTGCATGTTGAAGCTTAGTCAAAACAAAGCTCATTCATTCACTGATAAATAGATGGTTACCTATTACCTAAAAAAAAAACATGTAGATTATGGAGTATCCCAGTCATGGAAACCCAGGCTTAACGACTAGTGATAGACTGCCATCAAACAGGCCAAATAAAGCCTTCTCAGCATTTCAGAGCAACAAAAGCTGCCGATCGGAGCTCATTATCAGCTGTTCATGAGCAGTGTCACATATGAGCACATCTGGTGTTTGTTTGCTCCTGCAGCTGCAGATAGCAGACGGAGGGGTGGACCAGATCTCCAGAGCTCCTCTATCGGTCAGATCCGCGTGGATGCGCAAGACCACGACGCATTCGATCCTGTTCAACTTCACCAGCGTGATGATCGACACGTGCAGAGCTGTACATTACATGAGCAAACGCAAAGCTGCACACCGAGCAAAAGACACGAAGAGACCCGCAGACTGGAGCTCCGACAAGAACTAGTTTATTCAACTATTATTTTTATTTATTGACCATCGCAGATATTTCATTCAGGGCAGAATAATTTAATATTTATGAGTCTGTACTTTTAACTTATTGAATGTTGTGCAACATTGATATTTATAAATGCAATATTTATATGCCAGTGTTTTCTATTTACTTCTCATTTGCACGACACTGAAAATCAGTGCCGATGAATGTATTTATGAACTTGTTTAAAACAGAACGTGAGAACATGCTGATTGCTTACAATGATCTTCGTAGATTCAATAAAAAAAAAACAAAGAAAACATTTTGTGTTTTTTTCTCAATGCAATGTTTCAGAAAGAGGAAGCAAAAGTCTTAAAATAACACAAAAGCGTTGACAGTGAAGTATTTACATCCCAGCACTGAGTTGAGATCCGAGCGAGCGACGAGTCTTTATGGAGTCTGTAGTTTCCGTCAGGAGCGTCTTCATCCCCAAAGCAAACTGACAGACAAAACAGATCATCCCATGCTCATCTCCAGCAGCTTTCTGTGCTAAAACACTGTGATCTTCACCAAACTCACCTGAGGACTGTGGGTTCAGGCATCCCCGGATCGGCTCCCCGCTTGAATCCTGAGAGAGAAATAAATACATTAAAAAACATACGTTTCTGTTGATTCCTGGAAGATTCAGAAACATGAACTGGGAATGTCATGAACTGCTGCAGGTCACATTTCAATAAAAATGAACACAAAAATAAAAATGTTATTAATTTTTTTTTTTATTATACATTAATCAATAACTATACATATAATTTAGTGTGTGTGTGTGCATTTTTGCATTTTAAAATTGTCATGTGTGTATTTTATATATGTGTGTGTGTACACACACACACATAAAATACACACTTAAATTACAATTTTAAAATGTAAAAATAATAAATTACTACATAGTTATATAATAACTAGTTCAATATAAAAATACATTTTATACAATTTTACATAAAATTATATAATTAAAATGTGATTTTGAAATGCATAAAAACTATATAATTATACAATTTGATTTAATAACTATATACATATAGATATATATATTAGTGCTGTCAAACGATTAATCGCATCCAAAATATAAGTTACATACTGTATATTTATTATGTAAATGTAAATACAAACACATGCATGTATATATTTAAGAAAAATATGAAGTTTATATATTAAATATATTTATATATATAAAATATAAGAATATAAATGTATATACATGTACATATTTTCTTAAATATATACATGCATGTGTGTGTATTTATATAGACATAATAAATATACACAGAACACACGCATTTAATAACTACTTCAATTTATATATTTTATTTAGCAATTCTAAATATATTTTAGATTTCTATTTTATTTAGTAAATCTAAATTATATCTACAAAGAAAATTAAAGCAGTTCTTTTGTGGTTTTTGTAAGTCTCTTAATTCTCAATAGTTTTCCTCGTTACTGTAATACTACATTTTCTCATTTAAATCAGCATAAGAGCAAAACAAGAAAAACTAATGAATCATTACAGTTTAATGTCATTGTGTTTTGCTGTTGTTTTTGCATTACAGTACAAACAATTTTGCATTGACAATTTGGGAGAAAATGTGTTTAATTGTCATTAATCATGTCAATGCAAAAAAAAAGTGTTGCTTTTCTTAATGCACTTTATTTCAAGGGTAATATTTTGTGTGTTCTTGGCAGCTTTTGTGAGCTTCACTAAACTACAGAGCATGCAGGTGACGGTTCAATATAATGCTGAAAAGTATATCATATACCTTGATAATGACAAATGAGACGCAAAATTACAGAAAACAAATGAAAAATTATTTAGCAAAACCAGAAAACAGACAGTTGACTCTTTATCAGCCAATCAGATGAGGCCAAATCCTGTGTCTGCAATAGACTCATCTGAGGGTTTATCTAACATTACTAAATGCCGTAATACAGACTAATATACAGGATGACTGATGCCTGTTGTCATATATTGAATCAGCGTCTGCGGATGAAAGCGCTCTCACTCTCTTTAGCAAGCCTGGATGCTTCATTCACAGGAACTAGGCCTGTCACAATAACAACTTTTTGTTGTGCGATATATTGCCCCAGAAATAATTGCGATGTGATATTATTGTCATTTTAAAGACCGTTTCATGCCACTGAATATATAATCATAATGTAACAGCATAATAATGCAAGAAGGGCATACACGCTTCCAAATGACAACAAACTTTTAATTTTTAAGAATATTTAGATCATGGAAATTAACCAGTTTAATCCCACATTTTTCCCAGACATGAAAATATCCAAATGATGTGTTTTAGTGCAATATTTTGTCATTGCAACATTTTAGTGTAATTTTCACTAGCAACTGCAACTGGATTTATATTGTAAACCTAAGTTCAGTTATCCCACCGGTCACTATTGTGACCATCAACATGTTTACTCATTCTATGACCACACTCAACAAAACTGAATATATGTGAATTCATATATTAATACTAGACACCTTAAAGATAATGTGTACCAAAAATCTTTGTCATATCTTTATGCTATAACATACT